ATATATATATATATATATTTTCCAGAAAATAAAACAAGGAATTTGAGAAAGTAGCTCACCAGTGGGATTTTTTGTAAAAAATGAAAATTCTAAAATGACAGGGCACAGCTTTAAGTATGGGTGGCATTCATCCGCACTGAGAGACCACCACGGAATTCTATGCAAATCCCTCTCACCAATGACATCCTTGATTTTAATTAATATATTTATGCTCTGCCTTTTTTTTTCCAGAAAACATTTGAGGCAATTCCTGATTGCAAACCTTAGAAGGCAAGAAATAAGAGGCTTCTTCCTCTGATAAATTTGCATCTATTGTCCAACTCATGATCCTTCTTTGGGTCTATGAAGCAGTCGCTAGTGACCCAGATCTTCTGGGTGCTTATACCCTTTTTAGCCTTGATAATTACTTGAAAGCTTCATGTCAAGTCACAGACTGATGTAATGAAATGACATATTCCCATTTGGAGAATAAAATTCTTCTTCGTAGCTTTTTTTTTTTCAGTTTTGATGAAAAGATAGATGTAAAATATGCAAAGAATGGTGTCTGAAGACTTGGGATAAAATTTAAATGGAAACCAGTAGTTTAAAGAGTTTCAGGGCTAGAAGTTAAATCCTCTACTTCTTGTTTTTCTAAAGAAAAGTTGAATAGCATGTGCTTTTCATTGTGCTCCATTTCGATCATTTACATATTGGGGAAACGTATATTTGGCAACTGGTCTTATTTTTAGGAGTCCTTGAAACCTGCCCTTTGAAAACGTTTTCATTTCTGGCACATATGTGTGTTTTAAGCAGAATGAAAATACAAAGCAAATAAAGAAAAATATGTATGGAAAGGAATGACTTTTCCAGCCCCATGTAGCACAATAAGAAAGCAATCATTCAGTTGTGACTTTAAAAATGGATTCGTGCCTGGGTTTTCCAAGTATTTCCCTCTAAATGACCATTTCTCTACAGAACTGAGCTAATGTAAAGAGACAGGCTGTTCCAGTGCCAGAACTGAACAAGCAAAAAGGATGGAGGTTGTATTTTCATAGGAGGAACTTGACCAAATAATGCCCACTCTGTCTCCCTGCAGCCTCCTGGGTTGACTCAGAAGAAAGTGCCATATGCCCACTGTGCAGCTTGGAGCGTGTTTTCCTGGCCTGACTCGCCATCACCACCAGACTTCTATTATTTGCAGTCAGTAACAAAGATTCATCCTTGTGTCCATCAAGCAACAAGGATAATCTTTGTCACTTAGTGTAATTAATAGCGACACTTCACGTGGGAAGATGGAAGAAGGATGCCCTTCTCACACAGACTTGGGTGGATTCAGAACACACTTCATGGTTCCCTGCTGCCTTTTGACCAATTAAAAAGCCAGAACTCAACAGAGGTGGGAAGATGGTAAGCAAAATGGTCCCTTTTCTGGTTTGCTTTTGTGATTAAGACCAATAAAGGAAGTCGAACCTTTTAGCGCTTAAAACTATTCTGTCTTATTTAAAATATGCCTTATGGAAACTAAACAATCATATACCTAGATGCAACCTTAGACTAGATGCTCTACTGAAGGAAGAAATTGTTTAAAGGATCTTATTTGGTTAAAACTGGAATATGGACAGCAGATTAGATAATAGTATTGTATTGATGTTATATTTACCAAAGTTGATATAAGTGCTCTGTGGTTATGGAAGAGAATAATTATCCTCGTTCTTTAGAGATATATACACTGAGGCATTTGAGGATGACAGACCTTGATGTATGCAACTTACAAATGTTCAGAAAAAAATATTTTGTGTGTATGCATATACATATATATATCTGTATAGAAAGAAGACAAATGGGAAAGCAAGTAAAGTGTTCACAACAGGTGAATCTGGGTAAAGAATATTTGTTCTTTGTAAATACTCTCATTGAAGTTTTCCTGTAGGTTTGAAATTATTTCCAAACAAAAGTTTCAAAACATATATGCGTTATGGTTGGAAATTGTGTTCTGAAGAACAATTGGGAAATGGAGAGACAGAGCAGAGAAGTGAAGAAAAATAATTTCCTGGAAGATAATTCTCTGCAAAATGGGAAGATGGCAGCTTCTTTCCATCTTCAGAGATGAGTTAACATCATAAATGATCTTTTGTACTTCTGTCCACCAGGCTCATTCTTACCTTCCCAGTCCTCCTCATTAGTGGACAGCCTTCAGAAGCATTTGGGTTGGCTCAAAAAATATCTACAAACAAAAAGTATGAAAATGAGCATCTTGGTGCAAATGCAGCACAGCGTCATCTGGGCACAGAGCCCTTTCCTTCCCACTGCTGCAACATCCACTGACCAGGCAGACACAGTTCTACACCAAACCCCTGGGGGAGTTCCTTAAGACTGGCGTTCAAAGTTATAAAAACTTACAACACCCTTGAAATAGATGGCTATGTTCTGGACAAAGGTACTAAACAATGTTTTCCGGTACTAAAATTACTATAAAATTACTATCATTCTATTTTAAGCTTTTTTAAATGTATTAACTCATTTGTTCCTCAAAATCTTATAAGAGAAGTATTATGATTATGATTATTTCTACTTTACAAAGCTAGAAATCAAAGCCCAGAGAGACTAAGTAATTTTCCTAGGGTAATACAGCTGGTAAGTTGCTGAATTTGAACCCAGATGGTCTCACTCCACAGCTAACATTCATAATGACCACACGAGACTTTTCAACTACCCCTCCTAGGACGTTAGCCTTTATCGGCTAGCCAATTGAAACAGTTCTAATTACCCTAATTCATTGGTTGGGATGTCATTGTGGACGCCACATTATTTTGTTTAAAATCCCCTTACCCTGAGTTTCATAAAGCAAATCTCTACTGAACAGTCACATTTACTCTACAGCCACTATCACATTTCTAAGGCTAAGCTCATGGCGTACTGAGATCACCACTTCCAAACAAGGTAGAAAGATTAAATAACAAATTGCTTCTCCATGACCCCCTCGACAATTTTCTCATAACCCAGAATGATCTCTCCCCTCCAAATCCATTGTGAATCATGAGGTGACCTTTGGTTGCATAACAATATGAAAGGTACCCATTCCATGCACGTCCCTGAGTGACATGATCTAAGGCTTCTTGTTAATCAGTTTGGCTGGTACTTCACGTGAGTTCTCATCAAGAAACCTATTTCCCCGCTCAGGAAGCGCGAGATCCATGATAGCCTTTCTTGAAACGAGCAGCTTCCTGGGCTTCTTCCTCCCCAAAGAAAGCTCCACGGCAGCACTGGGCTGCTGTCCTAGTAGATGGAGTCGTCCTGGCACTACCGCTAGTAAAGGCAGCGGGGACCAACATGTCACTGAGTATCAGGCACAGCTCTGTGAGTCTGCTTTGCCACAACCCTATGATGTAAGACCTGTGAATTTCCCATTTTAAAGATGAGGAATTGAGGCACAGAACAAGGAGGGCATACCGGCCATTGGAAAGTTAGATTTTGCAACCACCTGGCACTGGTCAGACAGTCTAACTGTTACAGCAAACAATCCTAAACCCCAGCAGCTTAGCCTAGTAAAGGTTTATGCCCTACCCGTATCACAGGCTGATTCGGGCAGTCAGCAGCAAGGTGATTCAGAGACCCTGGCCCTTCCTCCTGCTGACTCCACCATTCTCTGGTCCTCGGAGTTCTCCCTGGATCACATTCAGCCGGTGGAGAATGTGTGGCCAGGAGAAAAATGAACCCCTTGGTGAACACTTAGCATGCTCTGGAAAGATCACAGAAGCCTGGGTTAGGTGGGGGCAATGGAGAGAGAACAAGAGGAGAATTTTGGCCCCTGCCCACTCATCCAGCATGGCATGCCACTCTCCCTCCACACCTTGCCCCACGCAGAGAAGCTGACAACCACACACACGTCCTCAGGGTCAGGAAATCACATTGTGATTTCTTGTGCTTTCAAGAGCAATCCATCCTGAGTCTGCTGGACCAGGGTCTCTCTCAACAACTAAGCAAAAGAAGCAGCATCTATCTGGTGATGGCCAGAGAGGCACATGACCTTCCTCTGACTCACCTGAACTTTGGCTGGAAATAAGCAAAGCCCCAACACACTGACACGGCCTTGACCTGGGCAAGGCACTGTTTCACTTGAGCCTGATTCTGAGGCTTAGACTGGGCTTGGCCAGGGGAACCTCACTCTGGTTCCCACCACACCATCTTTGTTTACAGTCACAAAACTTTCACGAAATGAAGGCAAGCATATCGGGGCTTAGCTGACTATAGTCACAGGCATTCGGGAGGAGCAGTGGTAGTAAGACAGAGATGCTTGCCCAGGGCTGATGAGCCCCCTCCTTGCTATTCAATTATGTCCTGTTTATTCTGAATGTTTCATTTCATCAGTCGCTCTCTTCAGACATCCCTTTTTAATTATGTCGAGTAGGTGTATTTCTTATCAAACGTCAAATTCCAGACATTCGTAGTCTTTCATGGGCCCAGGGGATAAAACCTAATGTTGCCTTAAAAGTCTCTCTCAGAGATCTTGACTTTGCCAAACGTTATTGCTTCAGAGCTCATTTACATAGTGATGCCACTGTTCAAAGACATTTTTGATGCAGCGTCATAAACTCAGTGTCTCCTCAGAACATGTGAGTCAACATCCCTTTTCCCTAACCAGCTGGTATCTCCATGTCTCTATCCTCTGCCTGGTGTCAGAACTCCAGGGAAAACATAGTGTTTAAGAAATACTAGTGTTCACTGAAAATATCTAACACAAAAACTTTAAAGACAAAATACAGAAATAATCATTCTGCCCTCCTTTCTCTTTTTCTCCCTCCCTACCCTCTACCCTTCCTTCTTCCAAGAGATTTCAAATAAAAATTCAGAGAGGAGGAAACTTCCCAAATAAAACTAAGCCAGCAAAGCCACCAGACACAGTATCTAATTCTGTATGAATATAGTTATAAAATGCTGTTTCTACATTAAAAACATTTTGGAAATTATGAAAAGTTGTAAAAATGAAATTAAAACCACTCATAATTCTATTAACCAGGAAAAAACACTTTATTTCTATAATAAATATATTTAAGTTAGAATTAAATATTATAAACACTGTGCTCTACTTTTCTTCCTTAAGATAGTGTAAGCGTAGCTGCATTGATTTAGTGTATTTTGAAAACATGACTTTTCACAGCTGTGACAAGTGTCTGTTATGTGGATGGTAATAACATTGATTTAAGCATTCTCTTATTGCTGGAAATAGAAGCCATTAATAATGTATTGCTATTATAAATAACACTGCAATGAACATCTTATGGTGCCCCTTGGTTGTTGGTAATCCTTTACAACAACATGAGCTGTGGGTCCTCCCTCAGCTGCTGTGTGAAGACGAATTGCTGATTTTCTGACTTGGACTACTGAGAAAATGTTCCTGGCTGGCTAAGATACTTTTCTAAGGAAAATATTACAAAGCTTATTTTCAGTTAACTGTAATAATAGAGGAAAAAGAGATGAATAGGCCCTGTATCATATACTTTCTGCTGCTCCTGAAAATGGAAGAGAACAGATCCGGAGAACTCCTAGACACCATGGGTGGCCTTGAGGGGCTATTTTTATGATAACAAATTTTGTTCACTTTCTTCTGTGCCAGTCAGAAATGTGGCCAGTGAATCCTTTTGCCCTCTCTTGTGTCACCTGAGAGGTTAGTCAACATTATAATCTATATAAAAAGAGAATATTTTTCTTTGTACACGTCACAAGCATGGGTGGGGGGAACACACGAGAGCTGGAATGCAATGAATTCTGTCCAGGCCCCAGAAGTCGCTCATGAACTTGACCAAGCCAAGGGGAAAAAACAAAAAGACTGTTGGATGAGAAGCCAGAATTGAGAGCAGGAGAGTTAGGTGCTGTGCCAAGGCAGAGGTGAGGGGAGGGGGCGCGGGGCTGGCAGCCTGTGGGTCAAGAGAACAGAACTGAGCTGGAGACCAATGGCCGATGGCGGCCAGCGGGGGAAGGGGTCTCTTTTTGTCCACAGTTCAGTGACCTTGCTGATTGGAACTTCCTAAGCACTGTGACCAAACCCCCAAGGAAGGGCAGCTATGACAGGCCGAACAAAGCCTGCAATGAACAGTTAGATGTAATTAAAGGTTCTTGCTCCATGCTGCTTGCGGAGGGCAAAGCAAGTTGACTCACAGCAAGTTGGTCCAGTCCGTCCCACACATCTCAGAACAGAAGACAGACGCACGTTTACAGTGACTCCCTCCCTCTTGTGAGAAACTGCACTTTCCTGAGAACCCCAAGTGCTTCTCTAGACAACACGTGTCCTCCCCACCAGAACCGAGAGGAAACTCGGAAAAGAAGGGCAGAGAGACTTTAGAAACTCCCAGTCACACGATGAGTCACCGACGGCGTGTCCAGGGTGGGCAGAGGCCACCACTGGGCGGAAGAGGGCCCCGCTGCAGGCTGGCACCCTGGAGACGGGGGAAGAGGAGGAAGGGGCGGGGGAGCTCAGAGGCTCAGCATCAGCCTGCTCTTGGCAGGGGCTGCTGCTAATTTTCTTTGGCTGGCTCTGACTACCTGTCTGAAAGCGCTGCAATGCAGGAAGGAAATTTTTCAAGAGATTAAACTATTATTGTTTCCTGTGTGGCTGTCTTCACTGGCGTATGAAAAAAAAAAAAGCTTTAAGGGCACTTGAAAAGAGATTTGTCTGAATAGCAGGGCTGTTGTGATTCATCTCCCCCTCCAGTCGGGATTTGGCCAATTTCCTCAGGAAAGTGGTTGATTAGGACCCATGGATTTATCCATGGCCTAAATATAAGATGTCATAAAGGTGATTAATGGTGAGCTCACCATCAGAGGGAGTTAAGAGTTTATAAAAGCTATTTTTAACGGTTTGGAAGAGGGGGGGAAAAAACCACTCATTTGTCACGTTGCCAACCTGTTCCAATAGTTAAAAACCTCTTTGTGGCCCCTGATAATTCATACTACCAACTGTTAAAGGTCGTTGTATTTTCTGATTTTACAAGTTTGTTTGAAAAATTGATTCAATGTGTTTTGCTGTTTATAGAAAAGCGCATGAGGAAAGGAAAAGAAAATGGATTTCCACTGTGATTAGTGACTGCTGCTCCTGGTCACACTCAAGTACAATAAACTTGTTTCTTTTTTCCACCCTGTCCTGCTGTTCATGCCCCTGCCATACAAACAGCAATTGATGGAGGGTTTTCAGAGCCCAAGTGAAGCTAACCTGGGATTCCCCAACCAGGGGAAACCAGAGACATTCAGAAAGCTGATGATGGCACTGATGGCCACTGGCAGTGTCCAGCATGGCTCAGTGATGTCACATTACCCAGAGATGCTCTAAAATGTGAATTCACTGTCATGACAACTCCACAAGTCAAGGTCACTTCTCCAGTCACGAAGCAACCAACTTTGTTTAAAAGAACATCTCTAAA